CAATGAAGCTTTGTTCACACAAGTCGTGTGAGATATTTAGTGTACCTTTGAAATGATTTTTAGGTTCTTTCCTTTCTCTCCTAATTCTGCTCTCACGTCGTGGACATCTTGAGCTTTGCGAATGAAAGAAGCAAAGACCATATCAACCTTGTTCTCTACGCCAAAAGCAAGATCCTACGATAAGTATACCAACAATAATAATGATACGAAATAATAATAAAATATAATGGTAATAATACTTAAGTCAATATGTTTGACCTTCTTGTCTTTATCTGAAAGAGCTGGCAGATCAACTACAATCCCAGGAAGGTTAACGCCTTTCCTTGAGCCCAAATTCCCACCATTTTGAACAACTATTATAATCAATCATTATACAGTAAGAGAGGGATCAGTACATACACAGAGCACAAACTAACCAGTTATGAGTGTAGTGTCAGTTTTATCAGTGACTTTAAGTGAAATAAGACCATCGTCAACAAATACTTTTTCCCCAGGTTTGACAACCTACAAAAGTTAAGCATGCATTTCGTTCCCTTCCTCTCTCTCTCCCTCTCTCACTTTAATAATGTTCTTGTAGTCCACATAGATGAGGGAGCCAGTTCCACAGTCTTTATACTTTTCATTTATGGACAATGTCAGCACGTCACCAGTTTTGAGGCTAATCTCTGCAGCTCCACCCTGCATATGTACACAATAATAATAATAATTCCCCTCTCTTTGTATATGAATATTAAATTACATGCAACTCACTCCTTCCAGGAGCCCGGTCCTTATTTCAGGCCCTTTAGTGTCAAGAGCAATAGCAATATACTTATCAGGCATCTCTTTATTAGCTGCACGGACATTCTCAATAGTCTGCTTGTGATACTAAGAAGAGAGGAAGTTAGAGATGCAATTTAAACAAACTTTTATTGGGAATTAAACTTACTGCATGCTCTCCGTGTGAGAAATTCAAGCGAGCAATACACATCCCTGCATCAATAAGTTTTTTCATGACACTCACAGACTGGCTAGCAGGACCTAAATTAAAAACATTATGTCATGATTATACAAACATCCTATAATAATCATAAATAAATAAACAATGCTACACGTACATGTAATAATATTCACCTCTGAATTAAGGGTGGTCTACTAATATTATAATATTCATTACACATTCATGGGACAAACTGTAGTCAAGAGTAGATAATAATTAGAGGAAAGTGTCCTACTGTGCAATACCCCCTGCTTCATCATGTCGTAGAATTGAAGAGTCACATTCCGGTTATTTCCGTATTTTTGAGTAGTTATTCAAAAATAACTAGCAATAACTATAACTACTCAAATAAAATACAGAAATAATCTGAATGTGACTCTTCAATTCTATGCGGTGATGAAGCAGACCTTATTACTGGTAGAATACTCTCCTAATTATTATCTACTCTTGCTGTAGTTATATGACACTTTCTACCAATTATATTTATGGCATTTGCAATGGCCATTTAATTAGTCTTTCTTAATTGAATCAGAATTAGCTCATTCAGCTCAAGCTTTTTATATTAGAGGCATCAATATAGTTAGTAAAAGTTTGAAAACAATTTTGGAAAAAGCATGTGAAGTGTGAAGAATGTCAATACTATCGAAACGTACTATGGCGTACATGTACATATGTACATGTTATACAAAAATACAATGGACCTTTTATGGACTTTTCTTTGAACAAAAGATTAATTCAAACGAAACAGTTTAAGACAAGGTTTAAGATAATTTCAAGCTATTCATCTACCCACAAACACGTATGCGTCATGACAAGTGATCAAAGCTTACTTATAAAACACATGTATTGTGTGCGCGTGTGGTTAAATAGGTTGGTTTCTCACCAATAGTGCAGATTATTCCAGTGTTTCTCAAGGTGTGAGGATGAGCGAACACATCCAACAGGCAGAGATGCTCCAAGTGAGTGTTGGCGAGTTGCGCTTCGGAATGAGGGGCATCGTGTTCACCCTGGCTACTAGTAGTCAGGCGGGGCCTGACCCTCCTGACTAGGCTACTAGCTGAAGATCCTACGCGAGATCTCTTACGACTTCCACTGGTAGGTGCAGCCATATGGTGCTCCCGAACTGTTCGCCGTTTTCAAACCAAGAGTATGGTATGAGCTAGCAATTATCAAAAAGGGGGATGGGTCTGGCTACGCGAGACTAGCCATTTTGCTCATTTCAACTTGCATACGTTGCATCAATTTCGGCGTGGCCGTGGTACTTAATGCGTATGTAGTATCTATGATGCATATATATACTAGGACGATGTTAAAAACATTATGGGGCGAGCACGAGCGAGCTTTGTGAATTTATGTGAAAATAATAAGCTATTACAATTTCAATACTTCATCTGAAGTTGTCAATGACAAAAATGAACAAAACCAAGTTATTACATGTAGTTGTGTCACTGCATCAACTTTTACCTTTGGTTGAGTTTAGCCTACTCTCTTTATTGATTGCAGCTTATATGCTATATCTTTGAAATGAGGCTTTTGAAATAAAATGACTTGAAAGTCTTCGTTGTCTAAAAGAGCCTGTTGCTTTAACTTTAAGAGCTTTTTACACTGACTTGCAAATGCCATCAGTCTTACACTGACTTGCAAATGCCATCAGTCTGATGGCATTTGCAA